AAAGAAAAGACTTTCTCCGCCCTTATGTACTCAAGCACAAAAGCAAGTAACCCTACTGTCTGTTTTTTTTCAAGTTATTTTTTCATAAAAAAATACTGTCCATATAAAGATTTTTTTTCCTGAATTGGAAAGAGCTTGAGTTAATGAATAAGTTACCTTGAAAACAGATTTCTCTAGTAAAAAAATATGTGTACAATTTTACAGCAGTTTTAAGATTAACAATCAAATTCTTTATAGGTATGAAGTATTCATTGAACAGTCTGCAATTCAAATTAATGTCTACTTGTGGGTACACATACTTTATCTCCTCTTCTAGAGCAGTTTTGAAGAGTTTGAGAAGCAGATATTCTTCTCGCTGATTGGAGGCATAGTTGTATAGAGTGAAGATTACCGTATCCATAAACTTGGTTGATTTGTTTTGTGGCATCTGGAAAATCAGCTTTGCCAGATACGTGGGATTAGTCTACAAAAAAAACAAATGACTTAAATACTATTGTGCAGGACAAAGTACCCCTAACTTGGGTGACAGCTCTCTACATTTCTGTTAACACTGAAAGCATTATACTAATTCCCATATACGTCAATTTTCCACACTAGCTTTACTTTTTTCCCACTCCTAATGCATAAGAAATACTGAATACTGCACAATTAGATATCTGTGAGTAGCACCAGTAAGAATTTTATTTGTGTTCTCCAAACAGTACCTCTGTGCATAAGGTCTACATATCTGATGACAATGACAATTTGCCAAATGCCAACAGCTATCTACCAAGAAGACATTCTATACTACATATCCACTTAAATATTAAAGGGCATCTGCCTTGGGAAGACCTAAAATTCTTCTAGAAAAACTTCAGTGAGATGAGATGAGATAAAAAAAGCACAAGAACAGATGTATTATGTGCTGTCAGCTGCATAGCTGAACACTTCCTTTCCACCACATATAATGCAGAGTAATAGTGACAGTAACTTACATGGACTAAAAGATATACAGAGGAAAACATTTCTCATTGGCTTCAGTATGGACTGAAGTTATTCTCATGGGAAAAACAGCTATATTTCTTCCATGATTTAAAGACAGCAAGGATTTTCTCAGTTACAGGAAATACTATAAGTTCATCGTACTGTTTGTTCCATACTACTTTAGAAATCTTTTCACTATCACTACCCAAAATCACTAAAAAAAAAAGCAAGCAATCTATTTCTAGTTTTTCTTTAGCAGTTTGCTGGCACATTAATTTTTACATTAAGATTTACCTGCAAAAGGTAAAATAAATGTTGATAAGCCTCCAGTTTTTTTCTTCTCTCTTTACTCAAACCTTTGATACCCTGTTTGTCAACCATAACCATCTCTTCCAGCTGACTTTTGCTCTTTTTGTTGAGTTTCTTACTGTGCAGTACCACATCCTGCAGACAGATGATCAAAAGTCTAGATTACATATTCACAAAAAAGGCAAATTGGAAAAATTAACATTTTCTCAACCATGGTAAATATTATATTCTTTCAATGGCCTTTATTAGCAGCTTTGTGTATTTTGTTTCTCTATTCGCTAACCAGTATTTTGAAAATCTTTATCTTGTCATCAGTATGACTTGCCAACAATGACCGTTTGGGAAACCTGATCTCATATACAGACTCAATCATCATTTAGGTAACAGCGAAGAAGTTCTTAAATGGGATTAAAAGTCTACTCCATTCTACCACAGAAAAGATGCTTAAAATCTGGCAAGCAATTACTATTGTCCATAAGTAGCAAAACAAAGAGTGACATTCAGTAACAAGCTGACAAACCACTCAGGACAAGAGAACAACCTCTACCCCAAGGTATTTTGAAAAGATTACTTAAAACACACAAAGAAAGTCCTTAATTTACAGGGATTATTTTAACTAATTGAGGGTGACAAAGCACTAGGCAGTTTGCTCAGAGGTTGTGGAGTCTCCACCCTTGGAGATATTCAAAAGCCATCTGGCCATGGTCCTCGACAACCTGCTCTGGGTGGCCCTGCTTGAGCAGGGGTGTTGGACAAATGACCTCCAGAGGTCCCTTCCAGCCTCAACCATACTGAGATTATGTGATCCTGAGCTCCGTCAACACAGGCAAGTGGTCACTGTATGCTGCCAAGAGAGCCTGCTGACCTGAAGAGTGATTCTGTTTTTCACCAGCAGTCCAATCTTTATATCCATTAAGTTCAAATCCTTCTCCAGCTGTTGATTGGATCGAATCTTTGTAACCACTTCTTCCCTTAACCTGGTGACTTCTAGCTCTTCTTGAAAGTCTAAGTCACTTTGGTCCAAGAGGTAGGCAAATTTGCGGAGGACAGTCAAGGGTGGATTTTCAGCACCAACTGTAGTTGAAGTAAATAGGCTTGTTATTTGACATGAATCTGAACACCCCCAAACCCCTCAGGTATCTGATCACTGGGCAGAAATTTTTGGAACTGCAGACTTTATGCCAGTTAAAGGAATATTTTTTTCTCATACTGTATGAGTACAGCTATCCAAAATACTTTCAGCTGTAAAACAATTAGTTTACAAATATTTGCATCTGCTTTTGAAGGGCAATAGGAGACTGAAATCCTGGGTGAAAGTTTTTTTAAAAAAATGACTGAACACAGTAACATACCTCTTCCCAAAAGTACAACATTCAACTGTTACCACTTACTTAGTGTTCTGTAGTCCTCCCTGGCTTTGTTTGCTCTGAGAAATGCTTGTATCTTCACAATTTCATCATTCTGGAAAGGACCAAGATTAGGCAAAAGAATCTAGTTATGGCACATTTCTGCTCAGAAACACACTGTAGAACCTGCACCCTCTTTCCTGAGATTCCCAAAACTGCCTGTACAGTCATATTACCCTATTTTAACCCTTAATGTTTAAATGGAGAAAAAGGACTTACATGATCCTTGAAGTATTGCAGCCGTTTCCTATAAGCTGTCTTTGCTAGCCACATTTTGACCCATGACTGAATCTGAAAATTAAATAAAATTAAATAAAAACTTAACAGACACTGCACAAACTGTTTTTTGTGTGTTTGTCTTAAACTCGCTTCTGTCAGTCCTCTTCTGTGGGCATGCTCTTCCTCACATACTCGGGGCCATAGATGACTGTGCCACTGGGCTCATACAGTCCAGTGACCAGACTAATGGGCTTCAACTGAAAGAGCAAGTTGAGTTCAAAGCTCTACCACCTATGTGTAGCATTATCTTTGGAAGTAATTTCTACCATCAAGTCTCAACTCTCAGCTGTAAACCAGTCTCCTTCTGAGACAAGGGATCAATATCCCATCTGCAATCGATGATCTACTCATGACATAGTATCCATTAGCCTCTCAGAAAAGTGATCACTTTTCAGATAGATTTGACAGCTTTTAATGAAATGATACCACATTGTCAGCTCAAATATTTTCTAATTTAATATTATGAAAAGGGGAGCATAAGGAAATCTCTACTATGAGCCACTCAATTTCAGCAAAGCCTGATAGAAGTCAAGACAGTGCTTTCAAGAAGCAATTTACTTAAGCTGTCAATTAAACAACTGTCAACACCATGCGAGTTTCTGGAGCACAAATCCTCCCAAGTTCATGTTCCTAGTCTCCAATTCCCAGGTGGTGGAAGAACAAGCCAAGGGATAAAGCACACTCAGGCCCCAAACCACAGTAGAATCTTACCTTAATAACAGCAGTAACATTGCCTCGAAGCACCTTTAATCTGTCAACATAGCTTTTCCTTTGTTTGAATCCTTTCCAGAAAGCCTGTTTTATAAAAGGCAGGAGACCATTATTATTAATAAGAAACTACTATGTATTAAAATCTACATATATACACTAAAATCATTAACAGTGTTTATCTTGTAGAGAAAAACTGCCATTGTGGTAAAAAGATAACCAAGGTGTAAGTGAGCTTGCCTCTGTATTTTTAAGGTGCCCTAATACATTTCATCTTAATTTTGGCTAGTCTCAACACAAGCTGTTGTCCAGTGCCATGTCCTTCCCCCCTCCAAAGCCATCTTTACTCTTATCACCAGTGCACTCACATCTTTTAGTGTCTCAGTCACAGGGAAGACTTTGTCAGCTCTTGCCCATTACATCCAGAAGTTGTCCCCTACCAGCTGGACCCCCATTTTTCTTTCTCTGGTCTCCTTCCCAAGTCTCTGCTCTTACAGAGTCCCTCAGGATCATCTTGTATCATAGATAATAACCTCATAATACCCTCACTTGGTTCTCCCTTTGCTAGCTCAGAAGCACTCTTGGTAAGGAACCCAGTGACAGGGATAACAGAGGTACTCTCACTGTCTTTGGCATATTTTGCCTTTCATCTCTGTCCAGCCAGTGATGCCATCTTTGTCCTCTGCTTGTTGTCTTTTCACAAGTCATTTCTATTTTAATGCTCACAGAAAACAGTCAGAGAACAACTTTATTTACCTACATTTCTCCATATTTTTGAACCTGTTCACAGACCCTGAATTCCTCAAACAACAGTACATTCCTTTACTGAGCTTAGGCACCATGCCAGAAAATGAGAAACCAATCCCAATGACAGCTTCTCTGAAGGTTTTTATAATCATTAATTGCTAAATTACTGCAGACTAAAAAATCAGCTGTACATTTTTCTATAACTTTGGGCAGGTTGATTGATTCTTTTTCATAACTGGAATAAATTGCTTCTAACCAGAGGAGGCTATTTCACCATTTAAAACCAGTGTGTATGCATTTGTCAGCATTCACACCCTCAGCAGAAATTTTCGTTTATACTCCTTTCAGAGTTCAGCAAACTGAAGACATCCAAGAAATACTGCCAGAGCCCAAGAACACCAGGGCGGCTGCCACTCCCTACCCAGCTATGACTTCATGGAACATAAGCAAACCACTTCCAGGTGGGGATAGTCTAGAAAGGAATGTATTTCTTAAGTCACACTTTGCCAAGGAATTTTTGCTTTGATACTGAAAAAATATCTTCTAATCTTGTACTGTGCATAGTTAGATGTAGCACACAAAACCTGAGCACCTCAGAATAAAGCCAGGGCTATGTATTTCTGAGCTTCTTCCCCTCAAGTAACTTTAGACTGTAGATTTGATCCATTTTTTTTTAAACTGGATATTTGCTATTTAAAAGCACAATTACTCAAATGAGGAGAAGAGCATATTTGCAGATGCAGAAGTCTGAACTGCAGTTGACAAAAACAGGGGAACAGACCTATTTAAGAATTTTATCACTGGTAGTAATCAGCCACATCACCTGTCACATGCAGAAAGTTGCCCAAGCCATATTACCTGCTTGTTCTAGAACAATACCTGTATTTTGATGGCAGATGGTTCCTGGTTTTGAAGGTATGCCTTTCTCTCATGATAATTTTTTCTGACTAAGAATCCCCTTGCTCGGGCTTGAAGCTGAACAATCAGATTTTCATTAGCAAGCCACAGCTGCTCTCGATTGTAATCTGCTGTAACTTGCCCAACAATGCTCTGTCAAGAGATCATGGAAAGAAGTCACTTAAAAGCAAAAAACTTCAAGCCAAAACCACCCTGGAATTTGGTCTGTATACTCTCCATCATCTGTACAGCTTACGTTCATCCTATCCAAGCCCCTCTGATCTACCCCTAGATTTTAATCAGAATGAAGGAAGAGCTACTTTGCTACCACTGAATTTTATATGAAGGTTAACTGAACTCCTTTCAAGTCTCAGTTATTCAGCTGGATATGCTATTTTGAGAGAGGGTTTTTTATACTTTTTAGTTCTACTTTTCTCATACTTCCAAGTTTTTTGTAGAAGTCAGACATCTAGAAGTACGAACTGGATCAGGGAGCTCTCTACAGAGAAGTATTGTTCCAGTCAGACTTTCAGAAGGACCTGCAGTATGACTTCAGCTGTTTGTGCAGCAGAGTAAATCCATAACCTAGATGTGCTGCATCAGAACAAATTGCACAGAAGCTTGTGTGATCTACTTTGTTCTAAGTTATATTTCATGCTAATGCCAGACTTCTACAGTAAGGGAGTTTAAGTATCACGCTCATCCTATTGAATCTGGAGATAGAAGAATGCTGTCAGATTATTACATTTAAAGATAAAATGGTGCTTTCACTTGGCCCCAAAATACATAATGAAATTCCTTGTCATAGGCCAAGGTTCAAAAGATATAAAAGGGTATGAAAACAATCAGACTTTCTTCCACTGGTGTCTGCTGGTAGCCATTTAAAGGAATGCTGTAATTTCCAGTTAGGAAGTCCCTGAATCTTTGTCTGACATCAGACAGCAGGCTGTGCTATCACTGCCTGCTTAGGCTTAAGTTGCTGCTATTGTCAGAAGCAGATACTTAACTAAAATGATCTTTAGTCTCACCCAGCACAGCCTCTTCCCTTGATATTGCCAGGTCTTGCTATCTCTCTTTCTCTCAAATGTTTATGCTTGATTTGCAATAAAAGCAAATATTTCAGCCACCTACCTGGATTTCTTCACCAGTTAACCATGAAGTTTTTGGTACAACTCCTTCAGGGGCAAAACAGGTACCTTCCTCAGTTTCCACATTGTAATAGTAATCATACATGTTTTTCATTACAAGTTTAATCCATGGACTTTCATTAGTATCTAAAAGCAATACATACCATTAGTACACATTTGTGCCCTGTTGCACTGATAAATTACAGCTCCCTACCCATTTCCCATCTATACATTTACTATGAAGCCATTTTACATGCAAAGTCACTATTGGGACAGTTTGTAGTAAGAATGTTTTCAAAGTACCCTGTTAGGCAGATCATTCTTCTAGCTATGAGGTTAGTACAGATCCACTGCCAGCTTCCCCAAACCCCAACCAGCCAAGTTAGCACTTGCTCCTGGAACTGTGTGCCATGTCTTCCATTATCACTCACGTAAGTGTAACTGAGATTTTATAAAAAAAAAAAATATTGTTCTTGTCTTCTGGCCAAATGTTGACCTTATTGACACTTAGTTCACATGGGACATTTCCTATATTCACATCATTGTCTTGTTTAGTGCTTTGGTAAACAAAGCTGTATCCTGACAGGCAGGAAAAGCCTCATTTCCTAATGGACAAAAGGCCCCAAGGTAAAGCTGATTAAGCTCAGCTGAGCAAAATGCCCTCTCAAAACTCATGTTGCAGGATGAAACATGCCCAGAAACTGTACTACATCGATGGTAATGATTTTTTTTTTAATTGTTAGCTAATCTTGGCAGCATTAGCCATGACCAGCTTGCAGCTCTAACATGACAAAACATCCCATCATTGTGCTATGGGCAGATTCTAGTCCCAGCTTTTGCAGACACTTGATGCTCTAGCAATGCACTGGGACCATAAATGGGCCATGGACACTTTGGCAGAGCCTGGCTTGATCTCTCACAGTGACCTGTAAGGCTGAAGTGTGCAGCCTAACCCTTCTCTGAATCTGCTAACAGAAAAAAAGAAAAAAAAAAATCAGAGTGTAATATGGCTTTCTGAGGGGATGGACTAGTCCATTGACAGTCACATAAGTTGCCCTAAATTCACTCAGAGGCTAGTTTGAATCTTAGCTAGACTCTGGAAATAGTTAGACTCATTTCTCAGCATGTACTGTGGTCTGGATGATGTCAGCAGACCTCAGCAAGTGTAATGTTTCTCAAAAGATTTTACAGCAGCAACTGGCTTCCTCAGTTTACAGTGATTTTAGGTAAATCTTCTGTGCCAGTTTTCCATTGCCTCAGTGATACGGACACGTGGAACTGTCCTGTTCAGGAAGGCTTTTACCTTCTCTAGTTTTCAGGTTCTTGACTTCGGAGAGCTTCCTGAATAAAGTTTCAGCACACTCAGGGATGACTCGTAATCCAAACTTGGACTGCAGTATCATCAGGATTGGCTGTGAATCACCCTTCTCCAAGCTCTTGTTAATCATTGATGTTCCAACAGCCACTAGGGTAAAATAACAACACAGAAAATTAACTGGTTTATACTCTATGTACCCACAACTCTAGCCTCCAGCAACTTTGATAATGGGCTTCTAAGGCTGGCACACACAGACAGCATGACATACACAGCAATTCAGTGCTTCACCCATTTGCAGCTTCCTTCATGCTTGTAAGGACAAGTATTTCAGAGAACAGCAAGCTTGTTAGATAGAAAGCGTGCACTCCGCCCAGGCTGGGATGCAGCCACAGCACAACTGAGAGTGGTCTGAGGGCATAGTTGCTCCCCCATCAAGTGACACACCAAAAGACAGGGCAGGGCTTGAGGATGGCAGTTAGCCCCCCACTAAGCCTGCCCTAACAGACAGGCTATCATCTGCTAATCACTTTGGTCACACAAATACACAAAGTCATTAGGTTACAAGCTGTAAACCTTAAGATTCACTCTTACTGTACAACATAGGAACAAAAAGTGATTGCCTTGAGCAAAGCCCTGCAGCACTAACAGCATCCTAGCCCAGATCCTGCAGTGACATTTTCTTGTCCTCACCCCCTGGAAGCTTGTTTAAAGCTGATGCAGCAAATTCATGCCCAAGTTTGCCAGAAATGCAGCTTTTGCTTCCAGGGCACATAAAAGTGCCCTGAGAGGTGATGCCGTGAAGCATGTTCAAATTTTGAGGTTATACAACATTACCCATACTCTGATCCAGGACTTCCTAAGCGTCATTTGCTTTGTGCAGGTCCCACCATCACCAAAGGAGCTGATACCACCACACCTGACAGCATGTAGCAGCACACGCCACTTCAAAGCGCCTTACACACTAGAGGAATATGCTGCTTTAGAAATTGCTGCTCTGGTCTTTGATGGTGTTCCTTCATATCTAAATTCAAGATCCATGCACAGAGGAACAAGTGAATAGACATAGGGCTAGAACATATACATTACATACTGGCTTAAGTGAAGCTGGCTACCTTTGCATCCCAGAGCTGCAACTCACACTGCAACACCAAGCACTTTTCTTTACGTTGTGACTATCCAGATCAATACAAAAAAAAAGGTCCCTCCCCACACCCAGTGCTCTGCCTACACAGAGCTGACCCAAAAGCTGCTCAGTATCAAGAGCCTACATACAGGAGGCATCCCATGAGACTGAGGTAGCAGGAAAGCATTTCAGCAAAAGAAACAGTTTTTCTTTGTGGTTAGTTTAACTAAGGTAGAATGGACAGCTTTGGCTAGACAAATACATTGGCAGCCAGCTGAGAAAAAGTGAACACCACATCACCACCATCGGGGTTTCTACCAGGTAGCATCCTGCTGGTTTTCTGTGCTTTGAAACAGACTACTGCCAAGAATGCACATGCTCCCCACCAGACTGGAGCTTACTTTGTAGCACAGTTGTGGTACCATGATGCCCAGGCATCCAGCTTCAGCAGTGATGAAGCAGGAAAAATATGGGAAGCCACACATTACCAGCTCGCTGCTGCTGACCCAGTTGGCGGTGGGGGTCAGCCCTACTCATACAGTGCCCCATGTGCCTGTCAACTCTAGTCACCAGTATCTGAATGCTTTTCTTCCTCCTTTTCATCCTATTGTTATGGATGCTAGAAGCTATTCTTATAAAGACAGAAGAGCACATAACCTAGCTAGGAGTTTCTGTAGATCCCCTGCTGCCTGGCTTTTCCTCATCTTTTAATTAATTACGCCTTTATTTTTGAAGGAAAATGTAAGAAAAATGTTCAACAGAGGAAAAAAACCCCAATTCAACAGAAGTTATACCTTTCCATTGAAGTGCTAGCAATCCATATTACAGCTGTTGCAATAAAGAAGGGCCATATGAACCTTGTAAAATGATAAGCTGAACAAGCTTAGCCATTCCCAGCTGCAGAAGAACTATGGGATCTAGTCTGCTCCTGCAGCAGTTGGGATGCCAGTACCAGATCAAGACTGGTGGGCTCTTTTCTGCATTCATCCTCCCTTCAAACAGCTGATATACAAAGATGCAGCTGTCTGGAGCTATTAGCCTGAACTCTCAACAGGGCCAAAGATCAGCTTTTTCCTATAACATGGACTCTGTCACGACAGATCCTGCTTTGACAGACAGACTTTTCCTGTGCAAGACTAAGGTCAGCATTGGTGTCTATTCCTGAAGGCTATTCAGCTGATATCTGGAAAATTTTATGTCCCCCACTTAGATAAGGAGTGCAATGGTTGAACTGATTAAAGAACTGAAGCAAAGTGATGCAAACTGCACAGCAAACACCACAAAGAATTAGGAAGCTCACTGACATTTACTGAACACGTCGCTTTCCTAAATTAAGATACAAAATACAGAATCCTTTACTGACAGTGAAGGCAATTTGTAAAAGCCTTATATAAATTTTAGTACTGTATAATTTAATATTTTTATAAGGCATAAAAATTAGTTTGGAAGGGATCAAGACTGTTTCAGTACAGCTATCAGTACCTTCTCTTATTTTACTGCTGATTTTATTGCCATTGCTGCAGCAATCTCAAAAATACACTTTGTTCTGACTTTAAAATAAATCTTTGACTGCCTTGCAGAAGTTTTGGAGCGGGATGTGGGGAGTTGCTTGCCTTTCAAAAATAGCATCTCAGAGAGATCAAAATAAAAGTTAATTTCCAAGTTGTGACCAAGCTGAACTTTAAGTTTAGACTACATGAACAGAACATGCTAACTTCCTGAGACAGGATGTGTTTGTTATAGGAAATGTCAGGTTCTGTGCCATTGGGAAATTTTAAATCTCAGTTTTTAGCTGCAAAATCTTAGAGCTTTTCTGAAGAATGTGCTGTGCTGACACTGCTTCCTTCCTACCCAGAGGGCAAAGTACAGGAGATTAGTAGTTCTTTCCACAAATGACTTATTAAAACAGTTCTACTGATCATGCTTGATTATGAAAAGCTGTGCATTTACTACAAACACAGATTATATGAAAAGATTTTACTACAACAGCAGCAAGTGGATGGAGCAGTGGCCTGTCATTAGCAACATTGTGTGGTATTGGTATATGGATAATGCTGTGCTAATTTCTGCAGGCCATTTAGGAGATATATTCTTAATGCTTGTACACCAGTGAACATAAACAAGGATGTTTTCAAGTCACCCTTTAGCTTTAACTTACATCTGTTTATAAGCTATTCATGTCTTTCCCTTCTCTGCTCTCGAATGTTTTCTCATGCCTCTGGGTGGCATTGATGGGAAGCTGGTTTTGTCAACAGAAGAAAGTATCAGCACTCCTGGGTACAAGAGCTCAGCTGGGACAATGTGTGTGTGCCTGACCCTCACAAAACACAAGCCAGGTGATTTTCACTACAGAAGCATAACCTGCCAAAATACTTAAAGTGTCTTTGATGTATCTGACTGACTGTACTAATTGATTAAATAAATTCTAAAGTAACAGTAATGCTAAATGCAACGTTTCTCTAACAGGGATAGAAGATTTTGTAACAGCTAGCTGTTTGTTTCTTCCGCCCACAACTTCCCAAGCACTAACTACTCACAGAGCCTGCCTATAAGTAAACAGGCTGCCACAATGCACTAACGAAGGCTGAATGCAGTGCTGCATGAATGCACCGACTTCAGCATTTGTATTCACAAGCTCTTAGGGTGCAAAAGAAGGCGACACTGACTCACCCAAAGCCAAGTCAAGCAGAAGGTGAACCCGTACCCAATGCCAAGCTATCAGTATCAGCTGGTCTGTGCTGGGCCCAGGCAGGGACACCACCATGCTCTGCAGTGTGCCCCGTACACCCAACTATGCTTGCTTCTACATTACTTCCCAAAGTTTATTACGTATTATGAATATTTTTCTAAAATTACTATATTCAGTCCAAGCTTTGACAGAAGATGTTGAGTGAGTGGATCCAGTACACAATGCTCTGACAGGATAAGCCTCAGCAATTTTCCTATACATTTTTTCCTCTTCACAGCTTGGAAGACCATACACTTCTCCAAAAAGCCCAAGTGCTGTTTTTACACTGCTTTTAAAGTTAATATGTTCCTATTTTTTTTTTTGTTTGGACTTAATGAAAAGCATTCCAATGAAATAGGAATAATCAAAGTTGCAAACATATAAGAATTTGCTCTTACAACATGCATTAATATTTTAAGCCTTATGTAAGCAAAATAAGCTCCTGAACAGTACATCCCTTCTCATTCACATATCCTTCTGTTTCAGCAGCTATGTGAAGATACTCTGGTACCAGAAATCTTGGTCATGATGTTAACCTATATAACCAAATCCACTAAATTATTAGCTAAGCCTTAAGGATTATAACTTTAGATAAAGCCAACACCAGATCTAAGTCACCCTAATTTCAGTATGATGAAGAACATGCAATAATTTCTTTTGATGTATTTAAAGGGCTACCACTCTTCCCTGAAGTAGAAAAAAATAGATTACCAATTTCAGTTTTTCAAGACTGAGAAAAACAAGAGCAAACAGATGCAAATTAATGCTTACAGATTGCTGCTTCTTTTATATTGTTATTGGCATCACTGATTCCTTTTTGTATTTCATCCAGCCACAGAAGTGCTGATTCATCTTGGGATTCCTGTAATATGATAGAGAAAAGCCTTGAAAAAACTGAATTATAACAACACTTGTCTGAACATACTGATAGCGATCCAACATACAATTTCCTCTTTTGAAGCCCTTGGACACAAAAAAGAATTTAACTGCTTAAACTCAACAATAAAACACATTCATATTCTCTTTACTGACTTGACTAAACTCCTCTTCAAACACAAAGCTCTGAAAGTTTTCATGTATATAAGACAACATCCTGCTAAAGATCAGTAATAATTCTGAGCAAAGCTAGCAATGTTTTCATTTCCATGATAGGTAGGCAAAGTAACTGGAGCGTCAAATAAAACCACACATTAGCAGGCTGCACTGTGATAGTAGCATGAAGAGCACAAAGGTGAAGCCAACAAGGAAGTTGGCTTTCTTTCAGAATCCCTTATTTGGAACGGATCCATGTGTACACCTGAATACACATTACATTAGAAAATAACAGCAAAATCTGTCATAGAAAGACAGCTCAGGTTTAGTAATGGTGACTTAACTCAGGGGGTGAACATTTCACGAATTAAGCAGCAGAGCAGGTCTCACTCTTCCTACAGGCTAATAGTGCATGGTATTAAACCCAAGTTAAAACAGAAGGTGCAAGAAAGTGGGCTCAGCATCCCCACTAACCAACCCTGCTCCGGCTCTCCAGGTTCACAGGTGAACCAACACCTCAGACGAGAAAATAGGGTTTCAGAGCCAAAAGTGACATTTATAATCTAATTTAGTAGGTGGAGGCACAAAATTCATTCTAAAGAGGAAAAAGGAGTACCAGGTCTATAATAGACTAATGAGAGAAATCAGAATGTACTGATTCAATAAAGGTCTAGGAGTACATACACACAAATATTTCAGGGGAAAAAAACCCTAGAAACTCTCTCAGGATAAAATAATGTGGACAAAAAAGCAGCTTTGCAATGAGTATCTCTGGTTTTGCACCCAACTCCCAGCCAAAAATCCAATAGATCTGTATTGGCAGAAACTACAAAGAAAGACTAGGGTAAAAAACTCTCAAGACAGACTTATCACTTTGCATCATATATATAAACAAGGTAGGCGAATACCTAAATAAAATCAAGTTATGTCACACAATCACATGATGATGGACACACATTGCAAGTTTTTCTAACAAGAAAGTTAGGGTTAACACTTGAGAGAGTATTTTAGTCAACACTAAATTCCCAAACCACAGCCAACAATTTTGAGAGAAGGATTGAGAAACTGAAAAGAATTCCTTATCTGGTGTCCAGCTTTTACACACTAAATACAAGAACAGACACAAATAATGCTCTAGAGCCAGGAACAGCTTATGCTGAGCCTTGCCACTAGCTTGGAAGCCAGATCAAGACTTGAGCTAATTTTGCTGGCTGAAGCAAGCCATTGTTATTTTGCATTCAAGGAAGGAAAAAAAAAAACAAAAACAAAACAAAACAGAACAAAAAAAAAAAAACCCGGGCAGAGAAAAAGGAAGGGATCAACAAAACAGCAGATGAAAATAGGGGAAAGGTTTTAGAGTCTGCAGGCTGTGAAGGGGTGGGAATTGTCTGGAAGGAGTCAGCAGCCGGATCGGAGGAACACAGACAGCTAACAGTGGGCAGGGAGATAGAAACACGGTTTTCTTAAGGCATGTTTGTGTATGTGGCTTGCTTTCACCTTTGCATTTGCTAAATCGAGGTCACCACGCTCTTCTCTCAGCCTGATTTCTCCCTTGAGAAGGGTACAGAGTTCAGCAACAAGGTATTTCAGTTTGTTGATAGGACCGTTTTGAGGTTTTATCAAACACACTCTTTGATTTTTCCAGAAAACATCTTTTTACCCCAAATATCTGTATGTACAAATTCCAGTAGAACCACCCACATTGGCCTCAGGCTCGTGGTAAATCAGGAGTTAAATTGCTGCTGTAAAGCAATTTTATCTGTGTTGGGCAGAAGCTGAAACTGAGTCATGTGTGCATATTTGGATACGTCACACCCTCTTGCTGTAGCAGACAAAGAACAAACTAGCTCCTTACCATAAACCTCATGCCTACAGGATGCTTCTGGAGGACAGATCAATCATTCTTTAGCCTCTAACAGAGGGGGAAAAAATCCCCCACCAAGCAGCCCCTGAAATGAACTAGAACAGTGTCATTGTTTGGCTAGCTGGATTTAACGTACTACAATGAAGATACTGGTTTTCACTGGACTGCTCTCTCTTACCTGCAGTCTTTTCACAACAGGTGAGTCCTCCTTTCTGTATCTATTCCATATTTTAATCAATAACATGGGCTTTATGATAAATGCTAGCACTTTGCCAGCTTAAATGGGTTGTACATAGATTATTACAGAAAACAATACTCCAGAAAGTCTCACTCAAGGCAGGTTTTTATTCTTCCACTTCAGTGACACCTTACCTCCCTCCAGTCACTTTCAATATGAGTTCTATTTAAGGGATTTTTCTGTGCTTACTGAAGATGCATCTGCTCCTCTCTAGTATTTCTGTAGTGATATGATAATCTTAAACCTGTAGAGTCTTGTTCTTTCTGCTTTAAAGTGCTCAACAGAATTATGACTTCACAGATGGTGCTATTAGAAGGAAATGCTCAGGTAACTATTGTGACAAAAATAACCAAAGGAAATTATCAATGAAGTCCATTTTTTTTCCTCACTAGAATTAGAGCTGTTTTCAAACCAAGATAATTTCTAAAAGCAATTTTGTATATAAACAATATGTATTGTACATGCATGCATATCTGCCTTTCAAAGACTGACTAAAATTCATTTTCTGGATTAACCACCCAGAAAATTACTAAAGTGATGCAGTCTACTAATTATAATTTCAAAACATTCTGCCATAAATATGCCAGTGAGCACTGATAAAACTGTTTTCCATATTTTATTCCAATATAGAAAGGTAAAAGAAAAACCCACAGATTCTCATCCAAATTTCAGTTCTCTTCTGAATTATAGTTTCAAGATGCATGCTCTAAGCTTTGCACTAAGTCTTTTTGCATTAAACATAGCTAAAAAAATTATTAAATGACAAAAATAGTTATATAGCTGTTTATTCTGCAAAATCTATTTTGCAACACAGGGTTCTAGAAAGTATTTTGAACTCATTTTTGCGTCATTTGGAAATGTTAATGTCTACAAAATTCTCTACTAAAGACTGAGGAACAGACATTAGTAAAAGTAGTATCCTTGGCTTTGCTTACATGCTAACATTATTTACTCACTGAAAATCTTCCTGCTGCATGAAAAGTTTTATTTACTTACCAATAAATTTGATCTAATATCAGCCCAAATATTTGTTTTCAGTCCTCAAGACTAACTGGCCTTCCTCACATGTGAGAAGCTGAAAAGGTCTGGTTTGCCTTAGTTTGAAGCTGAAGAATAATATTAATTTGATAAGTGAGATCAAAAGATTGAGAATGGTTTCAATTTTCTAATTTGAAGGTTTCAGCCTGCATTATGCAAGACAGCACTTTTTGCAGTCATGCATTTAATCCATGAAGTGACAAGGATAGCAGAATACTAATGTATGCTTTGGAAATTCTGATCAAGCTTAGACCAAGGCTGCTGCTTACATGATGAATTACCAACATTGCTACTACTGGGAAAAACCCTCTACAGGTGATAAGCATTACCGAAGTGGCTGATATATTTTACCAAAGATTAATGAAAACATGCAAAATACAGAAAGATCAGCTCAACACTAAATTCATGCTAGATTTTCAAGGTTGGGTATGGCGTGAGATGACAAATAAGGTGAACACTGTCCTTGAGTACATTTGATATGAACAACCCAAGCCAAGGAGAATGCCACCACATCTTTTAAACTTATATTGCTCTCCACATGGAGATGTTTACCTTTCTCCATAACTGAAGATGAATTATATTGCCCTGTTTAACAATTTTAATTTTAACTTTTTTTTTAAGCTTCAGAATTTTCACTGAATGGCTCTGCAATTAAAACTGTGTCTCTTATCAAGACTTTCCGTGGAATTTCAGCAAGAGACTATGATTACATCCCCCCTTATGCTATAGAAGGGGAGACAACAACCATCCACATCAGAGAACACAAATGCTCTTCAAAAGGGTCAAATGACTCCACTTTAACAGAAGTGAACAACACCACACTGCAGTATCTGACCAGTTCTCTGAGCACCAAGCTAATACCTGCTGTCTACCTCAGTGCTGTTTTATTGGGTGTACCGTCTAATGCTATAATTTTGTGGATGCTGCTCTTCAGGATCCGGTCTGTGTGCACTGCCATCCTCTACACAAACTTGGCAGTTTCGGATCTGCTCTTCTGCATCATGCTGCCCTTCAAAATAGTGTACCACATCAACGGGAACAACTGGATTTTTGGGGAAATTATGTGTCGAACTACCACTGCCGTGTTTTACGGCAACATGTACTGCTCCATTCTGCTGCTCACATGCATCAGTGTCAGCCGCTACGTGGCCATTGTCCACCCCTTCACCTACAAGAGCCTGCCAAAACGTGCCTATGCCATTGCGGTATGTGCCACCGTGTGGACCATTGTCTTCTTGTACATGCTCCCGCTTTGCATAATGCAGCAAAGCTATTACGTGAAACAACTGGGCATTTATACCTGCCATGATGTGCATAATGCCTGTGAAACAATATCTTCCTTCCAGTTCTACTACTATGTTTCTTTAGCTATCTTTGGGTTTTTAATACCTCTTGCAACTATTGTTTTCTGCTATGTCTCTATAATACGAACACTCAAGACTCATGAATGGTTCTGGTACGTTAAAGTCAGTCTTTTGATCCTTACCATCTTTGCTATTTGCTTTGTGCCAAGCAATATTATCCTTATTACCCATCACATCAACTATTACTATTACAACACAGATGTGTTGTATTCTTTTTATCTAATTGCTTTATGCCTTAGCAGTTTAAACAGTTGTCTTGATCCTTTCCTTTATTTTCTGATGTCAAAAATTAGAAGTCAATCCAATATTTATCTCACAATGGTTAAAATATCCAGGGAAAAATGAATTGAGTTTTATATTTATATTATTGGAATTATTTTGTATGATATTAACTCAGGCAGCAACAAACCTCAGGTGCAACAATTAAACTTAAAAAATTAGAGCAGTTAAAAAACAATCTCAGTAAAATTTACTTTCTTCCACACACCACAAAAGGAATATCTTCAGATAGACACTTCAGCTGTGTAATTTTATCAGGTGCATTGCAACATCTGGTGTATCTAGATTCAAGGAAGTGACTCCGCACCTCCATTTCCTTCTGAGAAGATCACTTTCATGGCCATGGAGAAGAAACCAGAATATCTGCCACCATAGCCTTTGAACACCAGAAGAGGAATCAATATCCAAACAGCACTTTTATTCCCATTCATGATTTCCAGATACTTCAGGTTAGCTCTCAGCCCACAATCACTGCGGGAACAGTGATGTGAAAACAAGTTTTTGGCCCAGTGGAAATGGGAACAAGTAAAAGCAATTTCTACATTCCCAGGAGCTGTCAAGCTTTGCAGGAGCTCCCTGTCACATAGCCAGGAGCAAATACTGCCCTGGATGTTGGAAATAAAGAGCCAGAGTCCCCCTAGGTTCAAGGAGCAGTACATCTACAGCTGTGGACAGAGCCTGACATTTCCAGTGCAGCATTTCCTAGGAGGCTGCTTAACCAGCTTTGCACTGGAGACTTGTTCTTCCACTTCGTCAGCGCCTGCACTCCTCTAGCCCACAAGGATTGCTGGGAGCTGGCCCTTATCAGTGGGAATCCAGGCATGTATTATTCTTGCTTGGTAAGTAAAACAGGGAAGCTATTTTGTAGTATTCTCTATTTCCACATCCTCACAGGAAATACCTACAGCATTACAAATACTGAAGCTAGTTATGATTGATTGTCCATGTTAATAAAGCAAAAGGTCAGCTTTTACATTTACAGAAACTCAAAAGCCATATATGTACTAAGTTCCTACAAAATGAGCTCAGTGGTTGATGTTTTTATTTGTAACTGCAGCGTGCAAGACACTGATGAGAAAAAATGTTTTACATCAGTTTGATAATAGTATTGTAAAAACCTTTACTTAAATAAAATCAGTTGCACTGGAAAAAATCTTCCAGGAATTTGCAGCCTGGTAAGACTCGCCCTCTTCAATTCTTCTGGATCTTAATTGAAGTTAGTTTTAATCATGCCATTCCTTCAATACGCACAAGAACAGATTTTAAAGATAACTTGAAAATAATCCAGATGTTATACACATATTGTAAATATAATAACTGTGAACCTAACTGTAAAACCTGTGTGCCTGTCACTCAAAAAAACCCCAAAACACAGGAACCATTTCAGAGTTAGGCACATCTGTTTAACTTTTCAAGTATCCATAATACACTCTCTAAACATGGGGTTTCTCTTCACTGGGACATGATTACACTTGGTTTGAAATGGCCTTGAGAACTGTTAGAAACTGTGGTTTAAGATTACAGGAATAAATGAATTCCAGGTTTCCATTTTTAATTTCAAGGAAGGAACAAGTAAGTGTGATCTGAAATTAAGACCTGTAACGGGTAACTGGGACATTTGGGTGCAGGCTACCTCCCAAAAGCCACCACAGCCACAGGGATGTGACAGCAGGCTGGTTAGAATAAGCCACTAGGTTTGACCCATATGTTTTTCTAGATGCTGGGGAACGTAGGAAGTTCACAGGCAGACTTATCTGATCCTTGTAAATCAAATACTTCATTTTACCACAGATCACTCTTAAAATATGCTAAGTACAATGAATCAGAAAAAGTGGGCAATAGTGGTATGTCCAAAGTATTTTCAATTCTGTTTGGATTTTTTTTTTTAAAGGAAAGTTCAATTTAAACTATATCTTTTACCTAAAGAATGGTGATGTCTATGTGACTGACCAGCATGGAGAGTCAGATTAATGCATCTGAGTATTTATTTTTGGATCACACATAGTACAGTCTCTTTCTTTCTTCCTAAACAGCAATACTCCAGTTTACAGAGTAGAGTTTTAAGTAGTTGTCAAAAGACTGCAAAACCAAAATACCTCAAGAGAGAAAGGTCAGTGGAAGTTTTATCACAAAATCTTTAAATGAGAAGATTTCAAAGAGATTGCACAAATTTTGTTCCAAATCTTGGCAACCTGTTTGTTTCCTATCAGCACATTCACACAGGGACAGGAGTAGGCACCAGGTTTGCAGCAGGGAGCACAGCGGAAGGAGCGAGCCAGGGCCATAGGTCTCTGCCTCAGGGACAGCCCAGCTTGCTACGCATGCACAAAGGGTCTAGCATGTCCTAGGCCAGCATTGCCACCACCTGCATGGACACTCTCTGCACACAAATACCAACCCTGGCCCTTCCAGGACCTGTAAAGTAGTCAGCATGCACTAAACTCTCCCCAGCACACATGGCAAGGGAGGCAGCTTTTCAGGATCCAGGGCTCAAGGAAACTAGCCCCTATCTGGGAACCCAAGCAACAAATTGGGATATGCAAATGCCTTTTGAAAGGTCTGACAGTGGATTGCAGAAACACAGTTTCACAGCAGATACCACGGGTGAGGTGGCAAGATACTTGGAATATATTTCTACAAGCCAAAGTTCAGGGACTTCCTCCAGCTGACCATATTTCTTTAGGAGTACATTACATAAATTTTAAGTGTCTTTTCCAAACACTGGACATGTTAAGTACTCTGCTAGTAGCTTTAGCTAATCTTGTGCTCAGTCACATCCTGCAAGCTGTTAAGCTGATCTTTGTTTATGCTTCCCTGAGCTATGATGCTAACCAGGGCATTGCTTTTAGGGAAGCAGAGAGCATATGCTGCTGAGATAGGTTTAAACTGAAGTCACATACAAGACTGTCAGCTTGTTGTTGCTGCATGATAAAGCGAGAACAGAAACACATACATACATAATTCTATTATTATAAAAGACCGGATTTAAGCAACAGAGACTCCTCAAAGTACTTTCCCAGAGGTTTTTTAAGGAACACCACAATTCCTTCAGCATGACTGACTCCTTTCTGGCAAAAAACTCAATTCCCATCCATGTTGTAAATACCTGCCTGACACAGGCTAGTAACTAGATCCTTGCACAAGTTTATAACTACATTAGGGCTTCTGCTGCCCATGTTTTGTAATAGCTGCAGCAACCTAGTAGAATTAAAAATAAGTAAGGTTACGTTAAGTCAGTAATGACAAGCATGCAGAATATATCTTAGTATGAATACATTGAGAACTAATCTCTTTCACCAGTTAGAATAAACTGTAGTGCAAAATTACTTAGTGCTAGTTTGTTGTAATTGGCTTATTTACAACCCCATTGGCACAACTAATCCAAATATCAGGGGACCAGGACAAGGACATACATGTAAGTGAAAAGAATTGCCATTTCAGTTCTGAAAAATAGAAACAGTCGAAGCTCTAACCTTGCATTTCTGTGCTTTGGCATGGTGCAGAACATCCTGATAATGCCTTGCATTTACTGGTCTTACATCTTGCAGCTTGGCTGTTGGCAACAGTAGGGTTTCCAGAGTTTTCTCAGGATTTCCTTGGTCAATTGCTTCATTAATGTGGCCAATTGCAATGATTCCTATGAAATGGAAAAGTTATTAAAGGTGTAGTTGACAAAGAAAGATGCAACTTATCTGATATCAGGTACAAACAAAGCAGTAACATGAAGAACAGAAAAATCAAGTAACAAGAAGCAGAGGCAGCAACAGCAGCTGATTTTAAATTATTTTTGCTCAAATATTCATGTGAAGCAATAAGCTGTACAGTTTTCTTATCTGCCATAATTATTGATTCATCTGAATCTACCTCTTCGTAAAAAACAAATTTAAGCTTGGTGAAAAAAAAGAAAATAGACTTCCCTACTTTCAGGGCAGGACTGTCTACACAAAGCTTAAGGAAAAGTTGGGTATCACATCTAAATGTGTTCATCTACATAGTAGCTTAGAGTGCTGAAAGATTTATTTTCAAGGTATTTCAGACCAGATTACTTGAAACCCTGATTTGGATAAATACCTCCCAGCTACAGCATTACATAGCAGCTTAACCTAATTTCTTTAAATTTCCCCTTAAATAACCAATCTGATAATGCTGACCTTATGAGAACTGACTTGATTGCTCAGACCAGCAGCACTCAGGACTTCAGTCAGCAAGTAACATGGCACAGTGTATTTAATAAAACCTCTAATTTTATTCAGACTAGTCTTAATGTTTCAAAATCAATTTCCTCTTCCCCCCAAACAGTGCTGAAATGTGCTGCCTGGAGTAACTTCTCCCTAAAGCAAATCCCAGAAGGGCACCAGGCAAGAGCTTCCCCATCACCTGCAATGGATAGTGTATTGGGTTTGCGTGGCATTGGCTGTGTCGGGTCGGACATGGGGGAATCTTCTGGCAGTTTCTCACAGAAGCCACCCCATGTCCCCCCCCCACTACCAAAATCTTCCCACGCAAACCCAATACAGATGGCATCCCTGCCAGCAGCAGATCATCTCTCACCAAGTCTCTCCCATACTCACCACAGCCCGCTGGTGGGATCACAGGTTCATGCCCACATAAGGCTTTGAGAATGAGCAGTTTTTCTGGGCTGCTACCAAAAGGAACCATGCAGATATGTAGGCTTGCTTATGGAAATAGAGACCACCTTTCCTCCTTCTCTCTCTGCCCCAAATAACAATCCATGGGCAGAGGCCAGCACCACTGAAACCAACTGCAGCTATTTTAGTACTGAAGACTAACTCTCCTAATGCAAGACCACATTTCTTAAGGTCTGTTTCAACTCCTGGTGACCACAGAGATTTAGACAAAATAGTGATTATGTCAGTGAAATTAACTGCTCAGTATTCCACTCTGCCAAGGAGCACACATTTAGAGCAAACAACAACCCAGTCAGCTTTAGTATTTCTGTAATATAAAGCTTCTCTCACCAGTACAGAACAGTAGCATGCATGACACTGATGGCAGTGAGGGAAAGGCAGATGCACTGACCCTGGAATCAGCCTGTGCCTTACAAAAGGCTCTCCAGCTACACTCCAAACTGCTTCCCAAAATGGCAAGCAGTCTGAAAGCCGCCTTCTCCTTTCATTGCTCCAGCTAATTGGGCATAACTTGATAGCCTCAATTTTTAGTAAAAAACACGTCACAAACAACGAACCATACTTCTATATCCAGTAGAGGAATTTGATCCTTTAGCATTTTTGAAACTCAAATGACCAGCTATCAGATTCAACATAACACCATACTTTTAGGGCAACACAGTTGCAGTCAGCTTCAAAAATATACTGTAAATCAATTTATTTTAGAAGAAGTGGGCATAAGAAGCTACTCTCAGATAGGAAATCAAGTTACCTAAAAGGAGAGCAGAATAGACAATTGCACTGCATAACTTCTTACCAGCTCCCTTGAGAAAAATAAAGACCTGCGAATAATTTAATATTAAAAACTTTTCCACAGGACACTGCCTATAATTTCTTCCCCTATCCTCCAATATCCTCTTTGCTTACAGTTTCTGCAAAATTCCCAAACTGAGACCATCCAGTACAAATACTGAAAGATCCTGCCAAGTGGGCAGAACCATGGCATTTGTTACACTGCAGAAGGCAGGCACCCTATGATATCTTTCAGCCAGCCAAAACGTAACCAGGAATACTTCAAGGACATTTCAAGACCAATGGGTGCTCAAAATTATTTAGCACTCTTCTCTCTGGAAAAGTGTCTGTACAAGGCCATTCAGCACAAAGTTATGTACCAAAGACCAGACTATCATTTCTGTGGGTGATGTAGTGGAAGAATTACTTACTTTCATTTTCTTCTTGAATTTGCATATTAACCATGTCAATGCAGTTCTGGATATCATTCCAGCTTAAATACTCTTGGCCTTGAGATGAAGCCTCTGACTTAATAGACAATAGTGTATCAGCATAACTATAAGAAGATATAAAATACATAAGTGTATTTCATATACAAGATAAGTTGTCATAAAGAGTTAGTCAGATGTATCACCCATCATTTAGTGAATAGTATTTTTTTTAATGAATGAATTTCAGATAAACTTATCTCTTGACAGAAATGTTACAGACATGCAAGCTCCCTTGCTGGTTCTATGCATGCATTTCAGGATCTGAAAAAAATTGGCCCTGTACACTAATTCAGAGCACTTTTATTGGCAACATGGGATTATGATAATACATACAATGGACATACACTTTGTTGGACAGTGCTACAGATAAATTTAGGAGAAACTATGGTCAGCTTCTTGCTACACTAAGTCAAAGACCAGAATTTCTACCCAAGCACCAGGTAGCAGCACCTCCTATTACCTCTATGTGGAGGATGGGCCATGGGCAGAGGAAGGGAATAAAAAATGAGGCTCCTCTCCTCACAAGGTCCTCCAAGCGCAGGCTCTGTAGCCTGTGTCTACTCTTTGTATAAGTCACAGATCAAGATGAGCTAGAAACCTTCACAGCAGTGTAAACTCATGTATAAGTTAAACAATTTTCATATTCCTGAATCAAGCATACAACTGCCACAATATACCAGATCAAATACCTGTCTTCTATTTCCAATAGAAGCCTGAGAAATGAATGATTGCCAGAAAAATACAGGAGAGAATCATCATTTCCTGCTTTGATTTGCCTTTCCAACATTTAGCACCCCATGTTTAAGGGCTTCCCAAGCTGAAGGCTACACATTACTTTTAATAGTTGCAAAGAATGCTGCGCTCCATTAATTTATCTACTCTGATATCTTATGTACTCCTGAAGAATAAGTCCCACTATTTAAGTGTTTTGTGAGATGGCAGTTCCTTAAATTATAAAACTTGATATTTGATAGTGTCTAATCTCATAAGAAAATAAAAACTAAAGTTATAAGAGAAGTTAGCAACTTCTATTAACCTTCCCCACAATATGCACACTTCTGCAGATCTATATCATAACTCCCCTAAATTCCCTATTCTAGGAAACACATTCCTAACAAGTTCACATCTTCTGGTAGAAAGCCATTGAACACCACGTCCCTCATTGAGCTTTTTCTAGCTCTACTGTATTCCTTCTGACACTGTGCAATCAAAGCTTCCTGCAATGTTGAACAACATATAGTTTGCAGCATAGATTTACATAATGAAATTTTATTTTATCCTTTACTCCAACTAATTCCTAGTGTTTAGTTTGTATTGACTGGCAGCTTAAGCTAAAGATCAGGTCACAGTAACACCAGCCAAAATTTCTGCAACTAGACACTTCAGGGACCATTTCTGTATATTTATAATGTTGCTTCTCTCATCTGCAAGCATCACCTCACATTAGCAGAGGCCAAGTGGCAGATGAATTTTGCTCCAGTTTATGGCATGCTGGTCCCCCTAAACAAAACACTGACCTCATTCCTATCCTGACTGCCCTTCTCCCAGCTTTGACACATATAGCAAGGGTTGCTCTCAGATTCATGACCCCATGAAACACTGCCCCATTCCAAAGACAAATGTTGCAGTATTGTAGAGAAGTTACTGATTAACAGTTTCCAGCTATAGTTGGTTCATGTTTTAGTGTCTGCAAAAATTCTTGTCAGATCTTACTTTGCTTTCTAAGGATATTTTCCCTGCACCTTACACATCCTCTGCCCTCAAGCATCTAAGGTTGTGTGATTGCTTTACTTATGGATACACAACCAGTTCAGCAATTGTCACATTATCCCTTACTAATTTATAACACAGATGTTTATCTTGCAGCTCTTTCAACTTCATATCCACAACACAGGACAGCCCACCTAGCAAAATGCCTGCTTATCCTTTTGCAGAAGTTGCCAGGTCTCATCCAGACAAGACAAAATGAACCTTTACCGTTGAAAGTTTTCCTCCTCCAGATTATTGAAGCCAACACATGGGTTTCTGAGGCGATTCTTTATCATTAGGATGTCCTTATTTTCCAAGGCCTGGTTTAGCAACACAACAGCTGACAACATTTCTACTGCAATAGACAGTTCATCATGTGCCAGGTAGGTCTGTAGGACAATAATGTACCACAGTCAGGAAGCCACATAGACAGTGTAATGAATTTGAGTTACACAGTCTAGATACCATCAAGAAGATGGACCTGATTTTAAAGGCCTGGGAAATTTCCTAGTCACTGGCATGTCAGATTAACACAACACTGCTGGTAGAGTTTACTGGGTTTGCTGCACATCCCATCAGCTTTTCCTTCTTTTGCCCCACAATCCCCTTTTTTATGGTTTTACCCTCACAGCAGTGGATTACTTTTCTACACAATATATGAAACAGAGTTAGTCTTCATTAAAAGCATGCAACAATTAAAAAACGTCAGTCAATTTGTTGCAACACAAGAGCTCAGCCAGAGCAAAGTGTTTTCCAATAATGTGATTCAATATTGCGTATTCAACCAAAACCATTCATGCAATATGTAACACCATGGCAAGAGAATTAAGTCTGATTTTACACAACGTTCTACATTTGTGCTCTTTAATGGTTTGACTACGTAACATCAGTGAGCAGGTCATAAGCTTTTCACTCTTACCACAGCATTCTGTTGTTGAAGGTTGAACAGCTCAGTCTGATAGACAGTAGCAGCAAATGAGTGAACAACAGGCAGCTGCGCCTCCGGTTTCATCAGTGCAACCAGTGTTTTACTAGGATCACAGTTACGAATTGCAGTATTGATATTGTCAACTGCTATGAGTTCTAGAGAATAGCAGGGAAAGAAAAGCCTATTAATTTTCATATGCCATTTGCTCTTTATGCCACATAGATGACAATTAGGTTATTCCAAAGAATATTATTTGCTGTCATTAGAGAGGAAACTTATTTGTTTGAGATTCTTCAAGACAACCGCTGAATGTTGCAAAAATAGTTCTTATTTAAACGTATTCAGCAAATAATTGACTGGAGGACTTTAAAGTTTTTGGTCTTTTAGCTATTAGATACTGTTTATTACACCTTTTAACCAAAACAAGGAACTGACCCAGTCCTAGCACAGAGAAAGACCTAACACCCCTCCTGGGCTTGCTTGTGGAAGGTACTACTGGGTACGTCAGCTCCAGCACCTCAGTCTTGCTTCATCCCAAACGCTCCTTTCCTTCTGCAC